ACACAAACACTCATACACACATGCAAACCCAGATTCATACACATTACAGATGCACAGACACACACATGCACACAAACACACATACACACTTACACACACACACACACACACACACACACACACACACACACACACATGCGCGCGCGCGCGTATATACACACTCACACACACACACACATACGAACTCTCTCACTCGGCCAGAACAATCATGATAATTGTGTTTTGGGACGTTCATAGGGTGCTTCTCGCTGATTTATTATTTTTTTTACCACAAGGAGCAACTGTCAATTCTGAACCCTACATTGAAACATTGAAACGACGGAAAGCGAGAATTCGACGAGTCCGACCAAATTTGAACATGGAAAATGGAAAGAGTGATTTTTCACCATGACAATGCCCGCCAGCATTCGAGTAGCCTACCAGAACAAGGGGGACAATCACCCCATTTATGTGGAAAACACTGCCCCACCCGACTTATTCTCCTGATTTAGCTCCTTTAGACTTCCACCTTTTCGGTCCTAGAAAAGAACCATTGAGAGGTCAACACTATTGAAACGATGGAGAAATCAGGAGTGCTGTACCCCTACGACCAACCTGCTTAGTTTTACGAAGCTGACATAGGTGGACTTAGTAAAAGGTGGACAGTGACTATTGAACGAAATGGAGACTATAATGTCTCTAGATGTAGATTCTAGATCTAGATCTAGGCCTATGTTGAGAAATAAAAATCTGATCCTCAGATGCTCCCCTTCAATTTGATGTATAGAGTTGCAAGTGTGTTCTTTTTTCTTTAAGTTATAAACGAGCTTGCATTACTTTTTGACTCACCCTGGTAGATCTATTATCCAGATCTAGATCTAGATATAAGATCTAGAATATCTAGATCTAGATTCAGATCTAGATCTATTATCTAGAATCTAGATATAGATCTAGGATAGATTCTAGCTTGATGCAAAGTCACCCCGCTATCTGTAGATCTAGATCTAGGCTAGATCTAGATTCTTGATCAAGATCTAGTCCAGAACCACTGAAGGCGAAGGGCAAAGAAGCGTCTAAACGTTTAACTTTTTTTTTCTTTTGAAAAAGGAGGGAGGGTGGATTCTACGGTACACGTTTTCTATTGCACGAATGAATTTAAACAACTCAACACTGCTTCTGTCATGCAGTTCAGTGATTTAGATACACATGTATGTTATCTTTACATGTAATTACATCATCTATGGGTGGTTGGGGGGCGGGGAGGGAGAGAGAGAGAGAGAGAGAGAGAGAGAGAGAGAGAGAGAGAGAGAGAGAGAGAGAGAGAGAGAGAGAGAGAGAGAGAGAGAGAGATGAGAGAGAGAGAGAGAGAGAGAGAGAGAGAGAGAGAGAGAGAGACAGTGAGGTGCATTATAGAGGTTGTCACAAGATGAACAAACATAATATTATGTTCTTTTCCTGTACCAGTGATGCAGACAAGGTGTGGATCAGTTTCAGTGGCCACAAGTAAGTCTAACTGAATGTTGTCAAAAAACACCTTAGTAAAGGTTTTGTTTCAGTTATCACTACACTGTATTGAAAAACAATTGGCCAGGCTACAAAACAACATTAAGTTCACTTTTTTTATCTTCAGGGAGTCCAGAGTTGTCACATAGAAGGAGCGTTAGATATACATGTAGTATTTAAGTGTTGTAAATAGTCTACTTTTAGTTCTTAAAATCAATAGCCTATAGCCTAAACCAAAGTTTAATAGATAGAAAACACTACTTATTTGGCACAATACCAAAATATAAGTTAGATCTAGATCTAGTGAATACAAGTATGAAAAATAGGCTACAGTTTTCTGTACCAATGTCGCAAGGGAAAGTTTAACTCGATTTTTTAACTAGATCTATATATATATATATATATATATATATATATATATATATATATATATATATATATATATATATAAATCTATATATATATAGAACATGCACATGTAGTACTGTACACGTATTTATCATTTGTTTGGCTGAATTTGTTTTATCAAGAGCTCCATTGCCTTACAACCCCTAATGGCATAAAAAAAACCGATTTTTTTCTCTCTATTTTATATTCTATTCTTGATTTAATAATGCCAAATTCATAAATTTAATATGGGGCTTGGAGGGAGGGGTGGGAGGGATGTTTCCATGACACCCACACCTTTTCATACTTCTTCTTGAAAGTTCTATTATAATAGGCCCGGACATACACTTTGATTCAGTCAATAAGAAATAGCCTAAACCATCTCGTAGATCTAGATTATTCTAGATAGATTCAAAGTGCAGAAGAAGAAATATAACGTTGTTTTTTTTTGTTTTTTTTTGTGTTTTATCAGCCTCTAGATCTATCTCTGTCTATCTAATAATACATTTATTTGTAGACCTGCTTGTAGAAATTACACTGTAATTATTGATTTCTATTCTAGATCTAGATCTACAGTGGGAACCTGGTATAACAAACAGGGATGGTGGAACCAGAGAAAAAGTCCTGTTACACCAGATCCCTGTTAAATCAGAAATGCAAGGGAAGTAAGCATTTGTGGACTAGCCGAGCTGTATTTTTATTCATGGGTGTAGTTTCCTTGCACACCGCAGCCTTCTCTCGTGGCCATGTGGCAGGCCTGCGTATGACACATTACGAGAGCGTCATAAGCAGCTAGGCCTAGGCTTAGGGCTAGATCTAGATCTAGATCGAAATCTGCAGCACACCGCAGCTCTCTTTCGCTTCACCCGCTGCGTGTGCTTGCAGTAGTGGCGTGGCTTGCGTGAGCTTGTTCCATCTCTCTCTCTCTCTCTCTCTCTCTCTCTCTCTCTCTCTCTCTCTCTCTCTCTCTCTCTCTCTTACTTTTACTACTTTTAACACATTGTTAACGAGCCTTTGTCCCTGCTATAACAGATTGGGCTTCGGTGAGGCCCTGTTATTGCCGAAAACTTGTAATAGAGACAAAGAGTAGGAAAAAGCGGGGATTTTTTTCTCTTTATTACCGGATCCCTGTTATTACCGGGCCTGTATGGTTTCCACTGTAGATTATATTATTATAGTAGATCTACAGCAGCAAGGTGAGAGGGGAGCATATTGTACTGTAGGCCTAGTGCCTCGGCTAGTGGAAGTATGACAGTTTGTCACAGGCCTCGAGTCTGGCCTGCTTGATGGAAGTTATCCCTGACACTCTCATAAAGAGTAAACTGATGACTGATTGATTGTATGAATTACATTTTATTTTTCAATTTTTTTTAACGAAAGAACATTCATTAGTGAAATTTTTACAGAGGAAATTTAATTAAATTTCCTTTGATTTGCACACAAAAAGGAAGAAATATTGAACAACACAGGCTGAATTGACATTTTAAAGGGACTATCTCTACACCGCCAATTTAAAGGTGGAGAATATAAAAACTTAAGTTACAACCGTGGCCGCGATTTTGCATTTTTTTAAAAGACAAAACACAAAGCTATTTCATAATATATTAGTCATATTGGCCTATTTTGATAAGTTTTAAGGTATCCATGTGTATCTATTTTCATGCGGAGAACAAGTACATTACATTACATACTATTTATATATTGCTGTGTTTGTCTTTTATTTTTCCCTCTTTGTTGTGTTTTAATTTGTTGGTGTGTTAATTTTTTTTTTTTAATTCTGATGATTTTTGTGTGTGTGTGTGTTTATACAACGTAATGTCATTACTTTGATGCTGTTCCTACCCTTTCAAAAATGTTAGAACGTGTCTCCACGAAAACCGAATACTGCTACTGGCAGTGGCACGTCCCAATTGTGTGTGATTCCATAATTTACATGTAGATCTAATATCCTTTAGGCCTACTTTTTCTTGAATTACACACGTTTAGGGTTAAAACGGCCAATCTTCGGATAGGTGGACACGCGCCCTAATTTGTTAATTGTTGTGGTTATGTCATGTATCCGCGCTGTTCTAATTTGAATTTCATTATGTTGTGAAACCTTTATTTTTCACGTTTTTACCCTCTGCTCTGGGTGACTACAAATGATATTCTGGATGCTCAAAAACAGAGCACAAGAAATTCTGGTTTTTAGATTGTTACCTCTATCAACATATTGCTACGTCGTCACAGAGAGTTGAAAGCTTTAAAATTAAGGGCAACATTTTGGGCAACTTTTGCCACTTTTTGTGGCAACTTTAGGACAAAAAAATGGCAACAAACGCAGTTGCTAGTACTACTTAGAGATATATATTATAGGCCTATCTGCAGTGTTAAAGTGCTGTATCAAACTGGGCAGCCCCCGTGCCTAGTGCCAAGGACTAAAATATACACATGTGTACATTGTACATGTAGCCTACTGTGTCACGTGTGCTTGAGCAGCGTCGCTGTGTGGTCCGCGTGTTCATCGGGCTGCGCGCCCGACGCGTCAGACGAGTCAGACTCAGGCGTGCTATTCAACAGTGTTGTAGCCTGACACACGTCTAGGATCTAGCACGCAACCTTTCTTCGTGTTCATTTTCGACCGAAATTCATCACAGGTCATCGAAATCAGCAAGAAGTAAGTATTATTAGGTGCTTTACTGATTAGATATTGATGCTAGCTTCAACACTTGACCACAAAACCCCAAGAAATGAACGTTATCATTCATTAACATTTCGAATCGAAAGGTTGACCTAGTTTCGACTTTGTGCTTCTAGAATCTAAATCTAGATTAGTAGATATCTTGGACAAGAACCTTAATCTCTAGATTAATATAATAGTTTAGGAGTTGAGAGGCAGAGGGATGTCCCTATACTATAAAGGTCTAGATTCTAGAATAGATAATAATTTACATCTGATCTAGACTCTAGATCTTGATCTCGATGTAAAGTAGGAAGTGACCCTGGTGAGAATAAGAAAGAATACGATCGACCTCTCACCCCTGGTGAGACTTGCCAGCGTTGGCTTGGCCTATTCTCACCCGATGTGAAACAAGACCTGTTTTACATAGTTTCTGAATACTGTCCGTCGATGTAGATTACCAAATTGAGAAAAACAAATAAAAAAATGATGCTATTGCACAAAAGTAAATTAATTTGGTCATCTACAAAGATGCTACGGCTAGACCTAGCCTAGTTCACTTTTCGAATCGAGCCGAACTACCCCGGTCGCCATTTTGTTTTGCCCGGAAGTTCTTGCTGCTAGCCACAACAACTGCTCCTTCTCTCTCTCTCTCTCTCTCTCTCTCAGACAAAATTGCACGCTTTCAACACAAGACTTGAAGAGCGCTGGAACGTTTGTTTACAATGATATTACGGTGAACGCACACCGGGTGAGATTAGTGAGAATAGCCAAATAAAGCTCCAAACAGTGGGGAACAACTTCAACGGCTTTAACACGTAGATCTATCTCAATCAAGCCGTAGTATCCATACTAGATCTAGATCTAGATCTACATCGTTGGCCTTGTGATATAAAACCGACTAACCCACAAAATATCCCCCAAAATTTTATTTTTTAAGATTACTTTCCCTCCCATCTCAAACTTAGCTACCAGTTGTCTATATAACGACCAAGAAAAGTGCATAAATTACATCAGAATGAAGCCATCAACATTTCGCACAGTGAGTCCAGCTGTCATCGACAAGGGCTCGACAAACTTTCGAAAAGCTTTGTCCCCAAGGGAATGCCTTTTGATTACTTTTAGGTAACATGACTGATCTGTTCAACATCATCATCATTGTCATCATCATCATTTATCGCAATTACCATCGTCAATCATTTGTCACCAATAGGCCTACCGTCGTGGTCGTCATCATCATCATCATCGTTGTCGTCGTTAATTAATATTAAAAATGGAATTACTAGATTCTAGATCTACTCCATGAAACACAAGTCAGGGATTTAACAAAATTAAATAACATGTTTATATATATTTTTTTAAGTCACTCTTTTAATATTTTTATTGAACAAATTCTACTTAGTAAAGTGTTTTATTTTATTTTGCACTTTCATTAAAACTTCTAGATCTAGATCTAGAAAAAAAAGTTTGGTCAAGATGATAATTAAAAAAAAGAAAATGGGCTATTGATTGTTTTTTCAACTGCTGGAAAAAAAACGAATACACTACTCCCCATGTATCATCAAAAGTCTGATATTGTTGATATTGATATCATTATTATAGATCTAGGCCGGGTCATCCCGAACGTGAGACAGATGTAGCAAGACAGTTTTGTGCACTTTCGTCAAAAAGTTGTTGCGAAGTAAAGTTGTGTTGTCGTCACTGCGTTTCAGTAGAAGGTTTTATAGGGTTTCCTATGCACGTTCACACCGAAAGACGAATCCGCGCAGAAGACATGTTGATTTTGTTCTTACACAGTGGCTACGTTCACACCGCCGTGAACGTAGTTTTTGCAGGCTACATTCACGGTGCCCTGAATGCAGTTTGCAGGCACTGTTGAGGCTACGTTCACGGCACTCAGGCTTTATTTAGATGTAGCATCCACTGCCGGTTTAAGTAAACCGGTTTTAGTCGGTGACAACAGAGACGTATTTAATATTTTGGCAAGTTTCAAAAGTTCCATCCCATGAGATGAAGGAAAACGAAGTAGTGATCCTGGACTGATTGACCATTCATCGTTTTCCCTTAGCTCGCCGGTGTAAGGTAAAACGACGAACTCTCAACTTTCACAACAACGCATTAAGATATGACATATATATGACAAAAATGCATACACGCCTACCAAGATGTTTCAATTGCCCTGTCACGTGTTCGGGTGAGACTTGAGCGCGACCTTTTGTTAGCACGTGACGGCCCATGAATGAGTGTAAATACAAACGTTGCAGCGCTCTCGAGTTGAAATCATGCAATTTTGTCTTCGGGCAGTGTGTCAGTGTGTGTGTGTGTATGAGAGAGGGAGAAGGTGGAGGGGGTGGGGGGGGGGGGGGGGGAGAGAGAAAGAGAGAGGGAGAGAGAAGGGGGAGGGGAGAAACAGAGGGAGGGAGAGACAGACAGAGACAGAAAAATAAAGAGAGAGAAGGGGAGAAGGGGGGGGGGGGAGAGAAAGAGAGAAGGAAATAGAAAGGGGAGAGAGACAGAGAGAGAGAGAGAGAGTGTTTGTTATTATAATAAGAATAATTGATTCCCGTCATTTTCTCTCTGCGTCAGTTCCCAGACTGACCCAGTGCATTACAGTCATTATTGTACACATTTTATGACCGGTCCCATCTTCCGAATCCCGCGTTTTGTTTCCCATCTCTCACCTCTTGTTTCCTATGTACCTACCCAATTTTCCATATATACATATCCCATATCCTGACTTCAATTCTGTAAGGTGGGCGCTTCGTTTTCCTTCATCTCATGGGATGGAACACTTGGAGTTGGCCAAAAGATTAATTATACGTCACTGTCATCACAGACTAAAACCAGCTGACTTAAACCGGCAGAGGACGCTACCCTTACGAAGCTTTGGTGCCGTTAACGTAGCCTCAACAGCGCCTGCAAACTGCATTCAGGGTGTCGTGAACATAGCCTGCCAACTACATTCATAGCCACTGCGTTGTTCCTACTGCATTCGTAGCTTAAGGCTCGCACTCTCACCCCGTGTGAGAGACCTACAGCTACAACTGCGCTATTCTCACCCTGGGTGAGTATTCACCTCAGAATCTATCTAGACTAGATCTATGATCTCTAAAAATGTCTCGAAGCAAGTGCTAGATAAGGATGAAAGAATATCGTACTGTATGACGAGATTAGAATTATGAAAGAAGGAAAACTAAAACAGACCGAACGAGCGAGGAGACAGGATCGAAGCAGAGAATGCATATATTCAACTCTCACACAGGGTTCCAACAGGTCTTTAGAAAAGTCCTTAGATCTAATTAAAGTTCTTAGTTTTTGTCAAAATAAAATTTAATAAGGGATAAAAGTCATTAATTTTTTTACACTGGGTTGTCACGTCCTTAAAAAGTCCTTTAATTTGGCATTACAGTAGTCTCCGCCTACCCCCCGGGGCAGTACCGTGCCACTGAGTGTAGTGTCTTAGGCCATTCCCAAAAAGGAGACATTTCTCGTTTGAGCACAGTAGAATTGTAAATGGGGCTGATTCATCATGTCATGCTCATAACTGTGCCTGATATGCAACAGGGAACTGCTGATTTTTCTTTCCTAATCCTTACTATTGTCATTTTCCTCTACTTCTTTTGTATGTTTGTCACTCTTGTGACCTGCTATTTCCGGTGTGCCTTGATGGTGGAAGCAGACCTTGTGCTGTTGAAGCTAGAGAGGTGAGCAGAGTAAGTCTGATTCCCTGTAAGGACTTCTCTGTTGACACCCACCCCTTGGCGCTCATATGACCTTATGCAGTTGCGAGCGCCGTAAAACACTCTATTATTAAAAAAAAAAAGGGACTCTGCCTAAGATCCCACAGCTTATGATCCCGGTTCGCTTAAGATCCCGCTGATTTTAAGAAAACAGAATTTTTACAATACAAAAGTCACCCCTAAAATCCCACTCTGATTCTCTTTGAAGGTCTACACTTGGCTAAGATCCCACATTTCTAATCATAATTTACCGAATAAAAGCCTGGGCGGGCATAGCCGATCAATGGAGAGGGAAAAGTTGAGATCAATGAACTGCCCGTCGCGATCAGCCACTCTCGTGAATGTGATCACATTTTATTTTGCGTTGTAAAACTTGATGAATTGGTACAATGTTTGCATCAGACAGGATCACAGTCACACCGATGTGTAAATTGACAGACGCGTTTGTTTTCCCCAAACATCGCACTCGCATCACCTCGCTCCAGGCGGGATCACATCGAACTGTGAACTCTTCCCTGACCTTTGCAACTGTTTTCTCTTTTCCCGAATTTACGAGAAAGACTGAATTTTAATTGGTTAGTTCATTTTAAAGTGGAGGGAGACCATTTACCGATTTTGAGCCTTAACACGGGTCACCATGGATTCTTCCCTGGGTTCGTCGGTTAAGATCCCGATTCGCGTAAGACCCCGCATTTTCCTTGCTTCCGAGCACTGGGATCTTAAGCGGAGTCTACTGTTGTCAAAATAAGATCATGGAAATTGTGGATGATGTTCCATCAACGCTGTTGCATCGCATGAACTGGACAGTAAAACACACTTATATGACAGAAAGACATTGCAATCCACTATTCTCCAACCAGGTCCTTAGAAAGTCCTTATTTTTGGTCTGAAAAATTTGTGGGAACAATGCTGTCAACAAACAACACAATCTCTGTTGTGTGCTCTAAAAAGACTTCTCTACTCTCTTCAATTAATGCACACATACTACTAAGCAATGCACCACAAAAACTATTTTAAACAAGTTATAATATATTATATATAGATATCTATTTATCTATCTATATATAATATAGACAGATAGATAAATAGATATCTATCTATCTATCTATCTATCAGTCTATATATATTTTTATATATTTATATGTGTATATATGTATGTATATAGCCTATATATTGTATGTATGTCAATTTATTAAGTACAATGTTCAATGTTAGAACAATTAAAACTTTCTAGGATAAAATGTAACCAAACCTTGTGAAAAAAAAATGGAATTTGGTTGAATATAAGGTAGCATTTTGGTGGCAAAGGTAAAGATAAACAACTCGAATTTACTAGCTTCTAGGTCTAGGATTAAGATTATATACCAAAAAGTACACTAACAACAGGTACACCAGATAGATCTAGCCCTGCAGTTAATTGCTTTTCTTTATTACTTCAGGAAAATTGAGAATGACTACTTCAGTATCGGATCGGGACTTCACAGAAAGATTGATCGAAGAAGTGAAGAGACATCCCGCCCTCTACAACACAAGGGAAGCAGGCTACAAGGACCGCTTCAAGGTTGGAGTGGAATGGCAAGCAGTAGCCTCGTGCCTGGGTTGCACAGGTGAGATTTCAAAGCTAGGTAGCTAGTTTATTTGCAATCTCAGTATTTTTCAACAATGGTCCGAAAAGTCAGAACAGGACCTATCGGAAATGAGTTTGGTTTATTTTAAATTCAGACTCAACTGTATATATAATAATAAATAAATAAATATAATAGTGATAATTATGATGATAAGTATAATAATTATAATCATATTTACTTATACAGCTACCTTCCCTCAGAAAGAAAAAAAATGAGCTTAAGGGGATTTACAGACACCCACAATCACACACGCACGCACACACACACACACACACACACACACACACACACACACACACACAAACACACCTGCGTACAAATTATGAACTATCACATTTACTCATCATATATTTTCACAGATGCAAAAATGTATGTGTCACGACACGGTGGAATCAGGCGTTCGTCAATTTTGGGGCATATGGAGTCATTGGTATTTTCTGAAAACCTGTCCATCTGCCTTGCTTTTTAATGAAAAGAATATTCATTTGTCTTTGGTATCAGTCAAGATATTTACAATTGAACGGGATGGGGGTCGCCTGGTTTCAGAGGTAAAATTAGCGAGAAAATGGCCGCCAAAGTTGAGTTATTTCCTTAGCTTGAGAGTCGGTGGAAACAGAAAATTTACATCTTTTATGCCTTTTAGCAACACAGAAATTAGCTCTTTAAAAGGCATGAAAAGTGTTATGCCAAAAAAGAAAAATTCAATTAAAATTCTCAAATCTGCGGAGAAATGCCAGTTTCTTGACTTTGATTATTTTGACGAGCGCCTGATTTCACCTCGCTGCCTCACATATGCTTAACATTGTCAAAATAAAAAAGTAATTAGATCTTACATCTATTGAAAATTAAAACTTACAATTTGATGCAAATTTTTATACATGTAATAAACATCATTTGTAAAAATATAAAGATTTGATTGGTTGCTGAAGCTAAATGTATTACATGTACATATACATAATCATGGACTTGCAGCAGAGCAAACATGAGCCCGTTCATATTGCCAGTGGACAGCAAGACCTGTCTTGAAAAGATTTGCAAATTTCTCTCGTACTTCCATTACCTCTTGGGTTGGCCTCCCAGTACTGGACATGGACCTTTCTGCACTTCTACGCTGTTGCTGGAAGGGGTTCTCATCTGTCGATGCATCCTCTGCAGCAGAATCCACACTCTCATGTTGTTTTCTCCGCACAAAAGTATAGAGTATGCAGCAAGCTAGTACAATTTTCCTGGCTTTGTCAGTCAGGGTTGATTCTCATTGTTGTCCCTTAAAAATCCTTTCCCCCCAACCTCTGTGCCTTTATGCCGAAAACACACTCCACAATCCGCAGTGCCCTTAACGACCTGTAATTGAAAATCCTACGTTGGTCATAAAGACCTGGCAGGAAAGGGTCTCATTATGTTTGGTTGAACTGAAGTGGATAAGCCTCATCAGAGACAAACACGCATGGCAAGACTTCTCCCAATAACCGCATCAGGTTGTGGGAGAGGCAACTGCTGCTGCAGTAAAGCCTTGCCAAAGGAAGAATTTCTCAATATCCCACCATCTGAGTGCCTTCCTGAATCCCCTACATCAACTGCAAGTGCAAGGAAGTTGGCTTTTGCGTCAGCCACACCTTGTAAAACAGTGGAAAAATGTTTCTTATAGTTTTAAAAAAAGCACTTCCAGAGTTGGGGGGGGGGGGGCATTCATTGTTTATATGCTTCCCATCCACTGCTCCCAAGCAATAAGGAAACTGCCACATGTTTTCAAAGGCGTTTGCTTCTTCCTTCAGAGTCCTCTCAGTAGGTGGCGCTTAAATGACCAAAATTGGGTCGATAGCGCCGTAAAACACCTACTCAATCAATCAGTCTCTCAGTAGGGTTGAGGCTTTTACTTGTCCAACAGTTTCTTCCAGAGACATTCGCAGGTGTCATACACAACGCTGCGCACAGTGCTGTTGCCCATTCGGAACTGATAGTGCAAGCTCCTTGCTCTTTCTCTAGTGGCAAGAGATTTGACAGGGAAAAGAGATGTTGAAATTTCCTTATATTTATTTTTGTGCATAAAAGAATATTCATTTGTCTTTGATATCAGTCAAGATATTTACAATTGAACGGGGTGGGGGTCGTCTGGTTTCAGAAGTAAAATTAGCGAGAAAATGGCCGCCAAAGTTGAGTTATTTCCTTCGCTTGAGAGTCCGTGGAAACCGAAAATTTACCATCCTTTATGCCTTTTAAGGAATTGAGATGACTGCGTCCCTTCCTCCCTTAGCAAAGGTTCATGTAAACGCACGCTCCGTATAAACACACGCTAAGGAGCCCTCCCGAGCACCGTGCACTTAGGCGGAGACTACTGTACCTAACATCTCCTTTTCACTTTCACTTTCAGCTGATTCTGCCAAGAAAAGGTGGCAGAACTTACGAGGCTCGTACAGCCGGAGTAGATGCAACCAAAACCAACCCAATGGCTCAGGGGCGCCAGCGGAAAAAAAGCCTCAGTTCTACCTGGCACATCTGATGAGCTTCCTGGAGCCTCATATGCAACATGGCCCTATGCAGGGCAATTTAGGCGCCTCCAAGCCTGAGCCACTGTGGGAGGAGGATGCCTCTGGAAGTTATAGCCAGGATGGCTTGGGCCGAACCACTCCCAGCACATCATCACCATGCCCTTCACCACCTGCTGACGAGCCCGAGTCAGAGACTCAGGAACCTGTCCCGGAACCCGTCATCGTACATGCCACGTCTGCATCTGTAAAACAGCGGAAGAGAGCGGCCCCTGCTATGGACAATGATGATCTCTTCAAGGAGAAGGCCGCCCGCTTTTTGGAAGCGAAGATGCAGGCTCACGAAAACAATTACAAAGAAGACATTGAAAGTTTAAGGGGCCTTCTGCCTCATATGGCCACCCTCTCGCGTAGGAGGAAAATTACTTACCTCCGCAAAATTTACGACTTATTGTTTGAAATGGTGGAGGAAGAGGAAAATGAAACAGCTGTGTACAATTGATTTTTCTTAATTTGTTTGTTGTTCTTCAAATAAATATGTGCAAGACTTTCTTGTTTAATTTATCTCCCAGAGTATCATTGTTGTGCACTGTTTGCTTATTTAGATACAGTGGGTGTCGCATTCAACGAGGTCACATTCAACGAGAAGTCGGCTCCAACGAGACAATCCTTAATCCCCGATTTTTTCCTCTATATCTCTTTGTAATGTTCGTCAGCTCCAACGAGGTTGCAAACAGACCAAAGTCGCTTTCAATTAGGTCGCGATAACCAAATAAAAGCAGTTAGCGGCCCCAAAAGCGAAGAATTTTTTTCCTTTCCATCACACGCGAAGCACTAAGCCCATCCTTGATTCCTAACACATTATATTGCTAGACGGTAGACCTAGTGTGCCTGCTAATAAATATGGGCACCAAAGCCAAGAGGATGGGCGAGGGTTAGCCTACGGTAGGGATGGGAGGGGGTGGATGGTAACGCAATGCGGGTTGTTTGAAACTGGATGAACTCTGGATGGATAGATCAAGGTCTATATCGAGACCTTCTTTTTTTTTTTCAATTTTCTTTTCTTACCCTGATCAGAAAATCCAAGCTCCCGCCTTTACTGTATGTTGATCAAGGCCTAGATGTGAGAGGGTATGTTTCCACACGAGAAGTGTTTCGGGAAAACAAAATGTACAAATGCAGAAATAACGGTCTGAACACAACGAGAAGTCAGCTCCAACGAGACAATCCTCAATCCCCGATTTTTTCCTCTATATATCTCTTTGTAAATGATGCTGTTTGAGATTTTCGTCATCCGGGGGAACAACTGCTAATTACTTTTATTTGTACTTTGTGTAATATAATAACTTGTCTCCTTTCTTTTCTTTAGCCAACTAGAAGTCGGATCCAACGAGGAAAGCAAGCCGGTCCTAGCAACCTCGTTGAATGCGACACCCACTGTATGAACATTCAACTAATCACAGCGTTTAATAGCTTCAATTCAATAAACTAACAAAACATTTCAGATTTGTGACCTCATTCTTCCATTTGGCATCAAAGTCGATGTTGGGTGTTTTGAGTTTATGCAGTCAGACTGCTCTATACATGGTGGAAATATGGTTAAAATTAAAATCGGTTAACTCGTTGCCTAGACGTACAAACATTTAAAGACGAGCACCCCATGACTGCTTCTTTTGAGAAACTTGCAATCAAAGATGGGGATTCCCTTGTTAAATCATATATATAAATAGGTCAGGTCCTAAAAAAAACACCCACTTAAACACTTTTCCTTGCAGTTTTCAGCAAAGACACTTGACGTACACCATCCAAAAGATGAGATGCTGAAATAATATCAACAAAAATGCCAAAACACCCCAGGTAACCCATTCTGACCAGATAGCTCGAAACAGTAAGCGACTTTGATGCCAGTTTGAGAAATCAGGTCACATTTGATTCTTCTTTTTTTGTCAAAGCATTAGAAGGTTGTTGCAAAAAATCTTTGGTAACTTTGTCAGAGCCAGGAACGGCCAAAGATGGGGCGTTGATGGCCGAGCGGTAGTGTGCCCGCCTACAGTCGAGGAGATCCCAGGTTCGATCCAGGGAGGTTTACCAGGATTTTTTCAGAGTTTTTGTGGCTCTGACCCCCGTCCTATCAGAGATGGACGTAAAATTCCTAGGTCCCGCCTCGTAAATGACCTTAAAGTATACCTATAATAGCTTGGAGGAGACTCAGTCAGAGTGAAATTTGCATGCAGGTACACGTATTATGTATTAAGTAGGCACAACTCGCATGTGATGAGTTTGACACTTAGTCTAGAACTAGAACGGATAGCATGGACGTGCGAGTGGGTAGTTTGCGGGTGTTCTGGTGAAGCTTGTTCTTTCTTTCCTCTCAAACAAATATCGTCCTTATCTCACCTTTGGTTAGAGCCTCAGCCCTGTCCGACGTTGTGTCCTTGCAATGGGAAAGGCACTTTACCCGAATTTCCCTTTTGGCTCCGTCCTTTCGGAGATGGACGTTTGACTCGGAGGTCTCGCCTTTTAAATAACCTAATAGTGTTGATAAGGGGGTTTCAGTATTCACCTATACCATTTCACAATTTTTAAAATCTCTCCTTTATGTTTGTGTTTATTACTCTCTTGCACCCCCTCTAATCGTTGACACTTTATGTGACCTTATTGTGTCCCAAGTGCCATAAAATGCTTATAAGAACAACAACATGATTGTGCGCTATGTAAATGCAATTAATTATTATCGGCGGCGGACACAAGACCGTCTTTTAGTTTTGAGTGACCTTCACCTCGTCATTCATTCGAAGTGTGAGAAAAACTAGAGATACTCGTAGTATGGGCCTGATCTGAAAACAAGACAGCATTTTACTTCGATAAATAATCATTTCAAAAGCTAATCATAGTCAGAATGGCAGAAACGAAGACAAAAGAGGAGAGGGAAATAATTAATTTCTGACCCCCCACCTCACCTCTTCAGAGATTGTTCGACTTAAGCCATTGTGTCTCCACGGACTAAACTCCGCAATTACAGGGATCACGAAACTAAACAAAGTAGGCGTCTTACGACGAGGCTAGGGGGCCAGATAGCTGATACTTTTCGTGGATTCTAAACCGGTTGACATGATGTTGGAAATCTTGCTTTACAGACACTTTGTAGTTGTAGTGAGCTCTAATGGTATTTTATTTATTTATGCTATTTTATTTTATTTTTGATCATTTAGGAGGCGGGTTTCTGACCTTTCCTGTCAGCCAACCCAGTCTGAGTCTGAGAGGGATACAATATCCCAACAGAAGTCCGATACTGTATACAGTACTCAATAAAGATTTTATCCCCACTCGGGAAACAAACTCGGGTCTTCTGCGTGTGACAGTGACACTAGTGACAGCGAGAGCCTTTAACCTCTGTACTACTACTGCAGACGCCGATCTATACAATCAATTTGTTACATTACAATTACACCTACATACACTATACATGTAAAAGAATAAAAATTACCATTGAAATGCCCACCATCTCCCCAATAAAACAATAACAAAACGAAAACAAACCCCCAAAAATGTTACATGTACTGTACAACACCCCCCCCCCCCAAAAAAAAAAAAAAAAGTAATAATAATAATAATATTTTAAAAATTAAAAAATCTAAACCATAAAAAAGAAAGACACACACATACACACACACACACACACACACACACACACACACACACACACACACAATCACACACACGCACACAGAACACCCCAATACACTTCTTGTTAACATCTGGTAATAAATATCTTAAAATTTAGTTTCCAGTAGCCCACAAACGATTGTGAAAGAGAGCCATGGCCATCACACGCTCCAGTCGTGATGGGGAAGCCCCGAAGGGACGCGGAGACGTTGTAGTGCGGAAGTGGAAAAGGGACAGATGGAGCAATAGTGGACTCTCCCAAAGATGATAGGCCTACATAACAAGATGGTCCACTCAGCCAAAAATATGTCTGCCGGAAGTCCGCTTTTTGCTTCAGATGGCGCTGCGGTCTGTTTTAAAGTTCTCTATCGTTTCTCCAGAAGAAGAATAGGAATAGCACCTCCTTGCTTGCGCAGATCGACTGCTGTTCGGGTTCGTATCGTTCCGTGCGGAGTTAAGTTTTTTGTTTTTTTAAACATTTTAATGACCACTTGCCTTTCATTCTTAAGTCAAATTAAACGAAGAAAACAGTCGCCCCTTCCTCCGGAAGAGGTTGTTTTGTCAGCGTGGCCATTTTAAAAAAGCCTTCTCTCGAAATTTGAATTCTTATTTATTCAAAAACTTGTTGGTTTCACTTTGATTTTTAAAAACACAAATAGGGTAACTCTGTTCGCAAAGGGTGCGCATTTGCGAAGAGGGCGCCACCGAATTTTGAGGACACTTTTTTAATTGGCTCAAAGAGAGGAGTGGACCCTCTTGTTATGTAGACTCTTTGACTCTACTCCGCACAACAACAATCTGCATGTATTCATGTACTGCATTATACAGTATGTGTCTATGGCACGTGCTCTGATAATGTTTTGCTTAGATTTGGTGTTCCCCAGAGGTCTGTTCTTGGGCCTGTCTTGTTTACAATGTATACACAACCTATTACAGATATTTAAAGACAATATGGCATGAATTACCATCCTTATGCCGATGACACTCAGATTTATATTTTTATAAATATCTTGATTTCGATCAAATATCTGTTCTAGTCGATTCTACTTAGCAATGTATTCGGGTACGAAAAATATCGATGGTCAGTAATAATTTGAAAGGTAATGACGTAATGATGACAAGACGGAAATACTGTAGTGTTGCGTGGAAATAGAAAAGCCATTAGAAATCTCCCAGAACTACAAACTGATATCAATAACCGTACCATTCGTTCAAAAAGAAGTCTTACAAATCTAGGGGTTCAGTTGGATTATGATATCATGTCTATGTCCTCCCAAATTAGTCAGCTCAGCAAAAGTATCTATTTTCAACTTAAGAAAGTTGGCAGTATAAGAAATTATTTAACTAAAGCAGCAGCTAAGACATTAGTAACAACACTGATTATATCCAATCTAGATTACTGTAATTTAGTCTAATGCAATTTTATCTGGTTTTACGGCCGAAAAAGTAACAAAGTTACAAGTACTCCAAAACCAAGCAGCGAAATTGGTAATGAAACTAAAGAAATCAGCGCACGTAACAGGATTCTGAAAGAACTACACTGGCTGCCAGTAAAAGAAAGGATCAAATACAATGAAACTGCCGTTTTATGTTTTACATGTATAAAAATAAATATGATACCCGGTAGGCCTACTACATCTTTTCATCTGAAAAAATTCCTGGAATTATATCATCTACCCAGAGCCCTTAGATCACTTCAGCCTCTGGCAATCTAATTCTTAAAACTCCAAAACAAAATTGCAAAACATCGGCGAACGTTCCTTTTTGTTCTTTTGTCCCCAGGTATGAAACAAACTCCCATATTGCTATATTATATAAAATAAGATGTGCCCCAACAATTTACATTTTCTACAAACAGCTGAAGCATTTATTATATACAAAAATGCATACCTGTCTTAATGATGAAA